TAAACAAACCACTTGTCAGACTGGGAAGGAATTGGGCCACTTCGGGAACCCTTCAGGCACCCCTAGGAGGGGATCATAATTTCTTTTGAGTGAGACTCTCCCTATCTCATCTGGACTGGGCCTGGATATTCCCAAATCTGCCACTTACGCACGGGGTGGCCTCGGTCCTCCCTGAGCCTCGGTGCCCGCCTTTAAATGGGCTTTGTCTGCCTCTGCAGAGTCCAGGAGGGCTCAGGACGCCCATCGGAAAGCCCCTGGCACAAAGCCTGAAGACATGGAGAGAGGAGAATGAGCTTTAAGCTTAGTTAGGTTTGTTTTTTAAAAGCATTTTGGACCTGTGAGATACTTATTATACAAGAATTTTTCTTATTTCTCAGTTATATTTTCTACTAGCTGTAATCTCACCATTTAACTTCCTATTCAAATCTCAGTCTGTGCAGCAAAGGAAAAACCATCAACAAAACAAAGATAATTAATACCAAAACAACAAATAATCTGATTTTTAAAATGGGCAGAGGACCTGAACAGACATTTTTCCAAAGAGAACAAACAGATGACCAATAGACACATGAAAAGATGCTCAACGTCACTAATCATCAGAGAAATGCAAATTGAAACCACAATAAGATATCACCTCACAACTTCCAGAGTGGCTATCATCAATAAATCAAAAAACAACAAATGCTGGAGAGGATGTGGAGTAAGGGGAACCCTTGTGTTTATTAGTGAGACTGTAAATTGGTGCAGCCACTATGGAAAACAATATGGAGGTTCCTCAAAAAAAATTAAAACTAGAACTGTCATATGACCCAGCAATCCCACTTCTGGGTATTTATCCAAAGAAATGCAAAACACTAATTCAAAAAGATATATGCACCCTATATTCACTGCAGCATTATTAATAACAGCCAAGATATGGAAGCAACCTCTGAGCATCCATTGATAGGAAATTTGATAAAGAAGATCTGGGACAATGGGATATTACTCATCCATAAAAAGAATGAAACCTTACCACCTGCAGCAACATGGATGGACCTAGAAGATATCGTGCTAAGTGAAATAAGTCAGACAGAGAAAGATAAATACCATATTATTTCACTTATATGTGGAATCTAAAAAAAAAACAAAAACAAACTTACACCATACACCAAAATAAATTCAAGATGGATAAAAGACTTAAATATAAGCTGTGATACCATAAAAGTCCCAGAGGAGAACATAGGCAGGAAAATTTCAGATATCCCACGCAGCAGTATTCTCACCAGTATGTCCCCTAGAGCAAGGGATACAAAGGAAAGAATAAACAAATGGGAATACATAAAATTAAAAATCTTCTGCATGACTAAAGAAAACATCAACAAAATGAAAAAGAAATGAACCGTATAAGAAAATATATTTGCCAATGATACCTCGGACAAGGGTTTGATCTCCACAATATGTAAAGAACTCACACGACTCCACTCCAGGAAGACAAACTACTCAGTTAAAAAATAGGCAAAGGACCTGAACAGACACTTCTCCAAGGAGGACATACACAGGGCCCATAGACCCATGAAAAGATGCTCAACATCACTAGCCATCAGAGAAATGCAAATTAAAACCACAGTGAGATAATCCCCTCACCCCAGTCTGAATAGCCATCAGTAACAAATCAACAAACAAATGCTGGTGAGGTTGTGGAGAAAAGGGAACCCTAGTGCACTGTTGGTGGGAATGCAGACTGGTGCAGCCACTATGGAAAGCAGTTTGGAATTTCCTCAAAAAACTAAAAATCGAACTGCCTTTTAACCCAGCAATTCCACTGCTTGAATTACCCTAAGAATCCCGAAACACCAATTCAAAAGAACCTATGCACCCCAATGTTCATAGCAGCAATATTTGTAATAGCCAAGTGCTGGAAACAGCCTAAATGCCCATCAGTAAATGAGTGACTCAAAAAACCGTGATACATTTACACATCTATGTGTAATACTATGCAGCAGAAAGGAGGAGCTCCTACCCTTCTTAACAGCATGGATGGAACCGGAGACCATTATGCTAAGTGAAAAAAACCAGGTGGTAAAAGATAAATACCATATGATCTCACCTATAAGTGGAACCTAACCAACAAAACAAGCAAACGAGCAAAATAGAACCAGAGGCATAGAAATAAAGAACAAACTAACAGTGAACAGAGGGGAGGAGGTAGGGGGATAATGGAGGAAAGAAGGAGAAGGGGCAAGTCAAGGAACGTGTATAACATGGACACAGACAACAGGGAGGGATCGACTGTGGGAGCGGGGTGGGTAGGGCAAAGGAGAGCAACAAGGGAAAAATGGAGACAACTGTAATTGAACAACAATAAAAAATTTAAAAAATAAACAAAACAAACTCACAGATACAGAGAACAGATTGATGGTTGCCAGAGGGGAGGGGCTTGGGAGACTAGGTGAAAAAGGTGAAGGGGGTAAGAAGTACAAATTAGCAGTTATAAAAACAGTCCTGGCGATGTAAAATATAGCATAGGGAATGTAGTTAATGACGTTGTAATAACCGTGTGTGGTGTCAAGTGGTACTCGACATCAGGGGATCACTTCATAAGGTATATAAATATCTACTATGTTTTATACCTTAAACTACTATAATATTCTATGTTGACTGTAATTGAAAGATAAATTTTAAAAATAGTTTAAAAAAAAGAAAATGCAAAGATTAGCACGTAAGCCACCAATGAAATATTTTGCTGTGCTTTAAAGCCTTTCAAACCAAAAGATATACAAAGGTTTGTTGGACTGTGAGCTGTCAGTGAATCAAAGATAAGAAATAAAGATAATAAGTGCTGGTTAGGAAAAAAAAAAATGTCTATGCTAGACAGATCATGACCCCAAAAATGTCCACACCCTATTCCCTGGAACCTGTAAAGGTGTCCTTTTACATGGCAAAGGAGACTTTGCAAGTATGATTACAGGTCTCAGAAGAGGGGAGATTATCCAGCAAGCCCAATGTGATCACAAGGGGCCTAGAAGAGGGAGAAAGAGCTGAACATAGTGCACTGTTGGCTTTGAGGATGGAGGGACCACCAGCTTTAGAAGCTGGAAAATGCAAGGAAACAGATTCTTCTCTTGAGCGTCCAGAAGGAGCTACCTGGCCAATGCCTGGACTTCAGCCCCATAAGACCCGTTTTGGATGTCTGACCCCCAGAACTGTAGGATAACACATCGTGTTGTCTTAAGCCACAGACGTGTGGCGGTGTGTTAGAGTTGCCATAGGAAATAAGACAGAGTCCCCCACCCCTGTGTTCACAGCCATCGCCCAGGCTTCTGTGTGCTCCCTGGGCCCAGAGCACCGGCCCCTTCAGTCCACTCTACCCAGCAGGCACGCGTCACCTAAAATGCAACCAGCTTGTGGACTCCCTGTCGAGATCCCTCAGCTGTGCCCTTCGGGCCCCATCCTTGTCCGCTCCACCCTGGCCTGCCCCTCAGCCCTGCACGCTCCTCTCTGGGTCACTACCTGCCATCCCAAAGCAGCAGCCTCACGCTTGTCCCTCAGGGAAGTTCTGGCTGCATTTGTAACCTAAACCATTACAATAGATGGCATTTTCACATCCCTCGCCACCCTGACTGTGAGGTCCGCAGGGCCTGGGAGAGTCTGTTTTGTTCACTCTTTTATCCCCGGTGCCTAGCACTTGGCCCACATGTGTGTTCAAGAAAGATCCATAGGATGAAGGAATGAACATCCTTCAGGGTTTTTCTATATATGACAGGGTTAGACCTCCCCACTTTATTTTTTTTAAATATTAAAGAGTATTTTAATTCCTGTCCTTAGAAACTATACAGATCATAATGATTTGGAAGTGAGAGTACCAGACACTAGCCAAACCAGAACGTCTGCTCTGCCTTCCCTTCTGCCTCGTCACTCAGCCTGTGAGCAATGTGATGTTAACAGCTATGACTGTGGTTGCTTCTCGCCTTGCATTATTTTTATCCATGTATTCACCATTGTCTACTTTCCTTTCCACATGAAGTTGAGACCCCTTTTTCACATACTGATATGCAGCATCTCTGAGGCCTGGTCAGAATACTAAAAGTCTGCACCATGTTGTCTTTTGAATGACATCATTTTGAATGGTACCCTTCATTCTCTCTGGATTTCCACATCTCATGTGTTGCCAGAGAAAATATCATGACTGGGTGTTTCCCTTCCACCTGTCTCATCACGGGATCCTGACCCACTTGCCCAAGTAACTGCACCGATTCAGAGATCTTTTAAGAACCAAGATGGTGGCTATTTTACTCATGTCTTACAAACTGATGAGGCACCTGTAATACAGGTCTTTAAAACACTGCTTCTATTTTTCCTTTTTCTACAGTCTGATCTTTAGTCTTTTTCTGAAGCTCCAGCCAGACAGCCCTGAGCCAGGAGGCCCTACACCCTCCCAATTTTGTTCTAACCATTCTCCTCGGTCAGTAAATGCACACGCCCACCGTTGTCCTTAATGGTTCTTGCTGCCCCGGAGTGCGGATGTTGACAGCCAGTGTCAGTGTCCCCTGTGCTGGATTCATATTTTGGCTCTTTCACACATGCTGTGATGAACGCCCTTCCAGTTAGACATTGGCATCCATCCTGACTACTCTCTTAGGATAAATTCTACAAGAAGTCCCTACCCTGTGTTTGTGCTGTACCTCTTTATGACTTTACATGCAGTGTTCTCCAAAGCGTCCTCTTTTCTGTGACTTTGAAACACGTCCTTGATGAAAGTGAGTGAAAATGGGGGGAGAAAGCCATGGCTGATACCTTCTTTCATAGCCTTAAAATATGGTCGACCTGGTGGCCCCACAGGCTAACTTGGACCACAGCTATGCTTGAGTGCTTTTTAAAGACAGAACATTTACATAACGATATGGATTTTCGATTTCTCCATGTTGCACTCACCAGTCAGAATTGGACAACCGCCGTCCTTGACACTCCTTTGCATTTGGAATCCCCGACTTAATCAGACTGTCCCCTGCTCTGTCTTACAGTGACATCACCCCTCCCGGAGAACCACTGAACAAGAACAGCCGGCCCAAAGCGGCTTCCCGCTTCCCCAAGCTGTCGCGCAGCCAGCCCAGGGAGACGCGCAATGTGGAGCCCCAGAGCGGCGACCTCTGACCTCGGTGGAGTCCCAGACTTGGGCTCTATGTGCTGCGCCAGCTGCCTCCATCCTGGCCTCTCTGCATCACACCTGGCCACAGCAGCTGGCCCCTTACTCCTTGGAGTGACGACCACCTCCACCTGGTGAACCCCAGAGAGCACACCTTCCCCACTGGTTACATGACACCTGGTTACATTAAACTGGTCAGAGAGCAAGGTGGCTCCTTGCCGGACAGACCCAGACACACGGGCACCAGTCGCCCAGGGGCCAGCAGGAGGGCGGGTGCCAGGTTGGGCTTGGAGCCCCCTGGTTGAGATGCACAACTTTGGTATTTCATTTGGTCAGAAGATTCACTTAGAAACAACCTCTTGACTCTTTCCCACATGGGAATTAGAATGACTGTTACAGTCTTTTTTTTTTTTTCTTTTTAATGTAATTGCCTGCTACAACCTCTGGCCAAGCTGTGGAGGAAGGGGCATTCCTCCCCATTTGATGTTCCCCCAGTGGTCAGCAGACACCCTAGTTATTGCCTCTGGGCCAGCAGCAGCTCGGTGGCGTCACTCCTCCCGCAAGACGGTGCAGTGGCCTTCGTGCAAAAGAGACGTTAAGTGATGCTGATCTGTGGCTTTTGAAGCACGATTGGCTTCTGGAAGGACCAGCCCGTGTAGGGAACCTGAGACCCCTGGACCCACGTGCACCTTTGTCAGGTTTGGGGGAACCTCACCCATCCAGGCTGGAACCATCAGCAACAACCTGGCAGCCCCATGTTGGAGAGCCCTGGGCTGTCCAGAAATGGGGGGCCTTGGCCTCAGAAGCCAAGAGGCCTCCAGGCTGTGAGAGACTCAGCTCTGCAGAAGGCTCTGAGAGCCCTCAGGCCTTCACACCGAGCTCCGGAGCTCTGTAACCTCGCTGTGGCTCTCTGTGAACTTGGACACGGTGTCCACCTTGCACAAATCATGATTGTCGCCTAAAGACACGGGTTCACAGTGTGCTCCCTGCCCCTCAACATGCTCTCGGTGGGAACAGGATCCCATGTGCCCCTAGACCGAGTCCTCTGTCCTCCTGTCTGAGAACAGGCGCTGTTGACTAGCAGGAACAGGATAAAGACGAGAGCATGGCGCTCGGCACAGGCTCTTCCTCCAGCTCTCCACACCGGACCCTCCCCAGGACCAGGGCTGGCCAGCTCATTGCAACATGCGGAAACACGGAATTGTCTCTCCCCCGGGCAAAGGCCACCCTCAGCTGCTGAGCACCGTTATGAAGAGTTTGCATTTTGGAGGAAATATTAAAAAACTAGGTACAAAATCATGAAACAGACTACACAGGAATTAGTTAAACCAGAAAATAGATGGATCTGTGGGGAGTTTGATGACATGAATGTGTGACACACGGTCAGAGGGAGGCTGCCCACACCCTCTACCTGGAACGTGTCGGCTCATTAGCTCAGACCTTGGTGAACAAGCTGGGTATGCGCTGAGCCTTTCCTAGACAGAGGAAGGCTCCGCGGAGGCTCACCTGGAAGGTTCTGCTCTGTGTTCCTGTCAGCCCCAGGGACCTTACTCAGGTCAGCTGTAAAACTGACCCCCGGGGCTTGTAGAAAGGAGCCAGGATGAGAAACGGCCCAAAAGAGCTTCTGAGGGAACCTCCGGCCTGGTGAGCCGTGCCCAGGCGAGCAAAGGGCCTGCCGTCCTCGTGGCTGGAGGCGGCGGTGTGTGGCGGGGGTCCCTGCTCTCAGCTCATGGGGTTAGAGGACCCGAGAGACCATGTCCTAAAAAGGCAACATAGTTTCTTTCTTCCTTTGTTTCAGTTCCAAGTCCACAGGGCCCCCTCGGTGGCCGCGGCTGGCTGCTCTGAACAAGGCTTCCTCGACTAAATCGTCAGGATGCTCAGAGCACAAGCTGCCCCACCTCCCGCCTCCCACATTGTGTTTACTCCACCTCAGTCATTTTGATGTTGGTCTTTGATCCCCACTGAAACACTGTCCCAGCACCACCTGTCTGGACGGCGGAACGTGTCCCCAGTCATCTCCGTTTTCTGTGTAGTAGATGTGGAACGGACCACCCACCTCCAGCGCCCCCTACCCGGGCCCAGGGTTCTGTTCAGCCAGGCTTTCTGGTACCTGACTGGAAACATCTGGTGCGAACCAGGCCTTGCCTTCCCCAGCCACTCCTCCAGGAACCTGCTTCACAGCTACGACAGGACAGATGCTACGTTGGGAGAAAAGAGTCCACGCCCAGCCTGTATTTAAAAAGGAGAAACCCTGCCTCCTCATTTTTAAAAGCTTAATTATTCATGGAAAACTCACCCTGGTCTCCCAAAGTATGGATTGTAAAAGCACGTTCTTAGGGGCCCCACAGGAATCGTCAGCTGCTTGGTCTTTTCACCCCCTTTTTGGTGATCATGCAGAAACCCTGGAATCATCTTTAATGTACAGACCGCCCCCTCCAATTTTAGCCCAGATATGCATGTGACATGCACATTACAGCCACTCCTCAGAGCCTTAATTTTGGAATCACATAGAATGTTCTGCAATGATTTAATCCACCCAGCTGCTCACTAAACCCCTGACCCCTAGCTCCTGAAGAAGACAAACCACTCGGGGCCAGCAAGGAGCAGGCTGAGAGCTGGTGTATTAAACGTCGCCCCGTCACGGCATTCACCTGCCCTTCACCTAAGATCCAATTCAGAGGGCAGGCTGTGGTCCTCCCTCCGAATGCCCACTCAGCCCCCTGCAACCCGTCAGCAGAAAAGACCACCCTGTGGAAAGGACCAATTGAAGCTGCCCGTCTCCTTGATCCAATTAGAAGATTCTTTGGTGCCTCCAAAATTGGCAGCTAAGAGATGAGTCCCTCCCTGTTCAGAGGGAAACCAAAGGGGTCTGCCTCTCTCTAGAGGGCCTTGAACATCCAGGACCACACCTAGACTGCGCGCAGGAGTCCATTCTGGGTCCTCTCACCAAAGGCAAGCTGTCAGCTCACAGGAAGCTTTAGCAAGAACATCGCTAGGGCTTGTCTCTGTCAGCAACTCATTTGTTTCTTCCTCCATTCCCCCAGATGAAAGAAACAATCAGGAAGAGTAGGGTGGGCAGAGATGCCTCTCCTTAAAAGAGAAAACCAAAGCGCTCAGGGAGGCCCTCCAAGGCCGGTGCAAACGTAGCCCAGAGCAACTCCCGACTAGGGAGGGAGCCTTCACAGCCAGCTCCAGCTTGTAAACTCGTTCCCCGGGCACGCACTACGCAATGTTACCGGCAAGCAATCAATTGCAGAGAGCACAGAGACAGTTAAAACAGCCTGGCGTTTGTCTAGTCGGTCCCCAGGGAGGAGGAGTTGGCTATCTTGTCGAAGGAGACCTCGCTTAACACCCAATAGCCAGGCACGCCCAAGGGCCTCCTGGTTACAAAAGGAGGCAAGGGTTTAAGGACAGGGTCTTATTACAGCACTTGGCTCTGCTCTGGCTCAGAGCTTATTAAAATGAGTCCTTTGATAACCACTGAAATTTTACAAGGGCAGCAGGTTGTGTTATGACTGTAACAAAACAGAGGCAATCAAAGTTGTTTACAACTCTAGGATTGATAACGGTGTTGTAACTAATGCAAAAGGCAACAGGCCCTGGAGGCCCAATAATTAATCCCCAGGCCTGGGGCCAGAGTCTGGAGAAGGAGACCGGCAGCCCGCCTGGCTGCTCGGAGGCCGCGCTACTTCCCAGCAGCAGGGCTAGGGCCCAGCCAGCCAGCAGCCTCTTCTTCCTTGGTATCCCATGGGACAGTTTGCCCGCCTGAGGACTAGGTCACAGGGTTCTAGGCCTTGGCCCGGACCCCACCTGCTCCCCTTCACATGGGGGCAGCCCAGCCCAGAGTTGTCAGCTGCTGCCCCCCACCCTGTGGAGGCCAGGCCCTGTTTTCTGGGGTCCCAGCAGGCACTCTCTGACCCATCCCTCCAGACTCCTTCGCCCTGGCTCCCTTCTATGAGCCCCAGAGTCCAGAGGCACGTGGTCTGTCTGCTCATCTTAGTGTGTAACTCATGGCAAAGAACAGGCTGGTTTCCAGCCCAGACCTGGGGACGGGCATGCCCCCAACCTGCCTGAGAAAGGCCCTGCCAAGGGCCCCATCTGCCCACAACATCACATTGGCTAAGAGGTATGGCTAAGAGGCACACCTTATATTCAACTTTCAACCACAAAGGCAATAACTGTCTGGATTTTTCCTGGGTATTTCACTCGGGACGATGCTACACACGCTGGACCGTCTCCCCGGCCTGCGGGCCGAGCCTCGGCAGACAGAAGGCCCTTCATGCAGGCGGGCACCTGCTTCTGCACAAGGTCTTTTGGAGCGATTATTTTTTAAATATTGTGCATTGTTTCACTAAATATTTGCTGTTCAGATTGGCTTCTGTGCTAATTTTACACAGTTGTAGCACTGTATATTTTATCTAAGATTTCCGTGCCAAAAAATTCATTTTCATGTTTCTGTAACACGCGGTCTTGATTATGTCTCTAAAATAAAACTTCAGCTACTGGATCAGCCGGGATGAGGGAGGAGCACTGATGAGCGCCGTGCTCTGCGCAAGCCCCCTTCCCGCTCAGCCCGCAGTCACTGAAATGCACGCATTAGTTCACCTCTGGATTTCTCACCTTTTCAGCCCTGAGACATTTGCCAACGTACGGGCCTGATTTCAGTCACAAAGCCCTTACTGTTGTCTCTAAAATCTGAATGGCTGCATTGAATGGGCTTTCTGACCTACCCAGTCAGTTTCTTTGGGGCAAAAATCATCTGATTTCTTTAAAAGACGGTTGAGGCTGTAGCCTGGGTGATCATCCCACCAGCAGAACATGCTGGGTTCGTTAGTGTTTTGGGACCACGGGTCAGTTCTTACCGGCACGTGAATGTTTTCCCATCATAACTGGAAAACCACAGCCGACCTGTCCAGGCCCCCACGTTCCCCTCGAGTCTGCTCAGGGCCGCCTCCGGCTGTCATGCACCACGAGTGGGGAGGCCACTCATTCACCTCGATGGCTCTTTTTCTCACCTGTAGACCGTGCAGGGGATGCCCTTGCAAAACCTGGGACTCGGGGCATGGACGGTAACTAAATGGCGGCTGCACCTTCGCAGTGCGTTGCTAACCACTCCAGAAATGCGCCTGGAGGACGTGTGTTTCCACAAGTGCGGGGGTGGGGGAGCTAATTAGGAATTTTTATTATCTAGGATTCATCCTAGAGAGAATGTCTTTACCTCTTCAGCCTTAGCTTCACCATCCCTGGCATAGCCGTTCAGTAAAACTCTGCTTAACCCATCAGGTACTGACTTGGAGGAGGGGGTCTTTTGAACGCAGGAGCATGTTCACCCCAGGCGGGAGGCCCTCAGCCTGGCCGAAGCCCCCTTGACGGTCCCAGCGGCCCGGCCGTCGGGCGAGGAGGCAACACCCCTGGAGTCTGGTCTACCGCCTGGATGTAAAGGGAGCCTACGCGTGTACAGGTTTGCTCCGAAACATGTAGTAGTATCTTAACTACCCTCTTATGTTAAGGTTTACATAATAGGATTTTTAAACAAATGTGTTTAATTTTCTAAAATTTCTTGTATTAAAATTTTCTTTTGGAATAAGCTGTGGTAATTTTGTTACAATCTGGTTGAGATACACCTCTTTACAATGGCAAAATGGTGACATTTTATAAATTAAATACTCAGTTTATGGTCTGTTTCTTGTCTCAGTTCTTTTTCAGCAGTTGGAGAATAGGTGAATTTTCAGTGTACATGTTATAAACACTTCTAAAATGGCCATTCCCCATTTGACATGATATCCTGGACAACAGGATTTGATTGGACTAATATCAATCTAATTTGAATTGAAGTGGAGCAAAATTTCATATTGCTTCATGAGGCAGATCTGAGTAAACGCGAGAGACAGAAGCACTTGTTACAGTTCCCGCGCGTTCACTCAAACACAGATGACCATTGGGCACCAGCCACATGCCAGGCGTCGGGCCAGGCGCTGGGCATACGGCAGTGAACCCAGAGGCCAAGGGTTATCTTGGTGGAAGTGACTGACATTTAAGCTGTGACCTGTGGAATGCGAAAGAAATGCTACACTGTCCTCCCCTGCCAAAAAAAAAAAAAAATTGGCTTAAAAATCCATACCGGCAAGCAAGGGATTTTACCTTTTCAACCTAATTATAGTGACTGAGGAAAAGAGGCAGATTCTCAGAATAAGGACCCAGGCATGAAGTCAGTATATATATAACTCAGCACACTTCCTGGGTAGGTTCTGACCAGGGCCGCAGGTGTCACCTCAGACCCCTGTGCCCAGCGCTGTGAGGAGGCCACCACTGGACAGCCTCCCGTTGACCTAATCCTTACGCCACCGCAGCGAAGTGCTCTGCTCTGTATTTAAACAGATGAGAAAACTAAGCACAGACTGAGCACGGACCTGTGGTCCCCTGGCTCCGAGGAGGAACCGGGGGGGGCTGCTTCCGTTGTGCTCCCAGCCTGGATCACCTTGGCCGCTCTGTAGCTGGTCCCTCTCTCCCCTCTCCTGCGTCCTCTGTGACACCCTCAACTTCTCACTGAAGCCTCTTGGCTTCCCAAGCACAGGATTCCCTTGAACTCTTCCCTGAGAGAGGCTGTTGTCATTTTTTTCCTCCCTTAATTCATATTCCTAACTTCCAATTTTCCTATTTTAAACCACTTTGCCTCCTTAAAAATACCAGTTCCTTTGAAGCTCATACCATCTGCTTGTAACACCGTCTACACCTATGCTTGGCTTCATCTATGGACCCGTGAGCTGCTGCTGCTCACTCACCGAGGGTCGGCACCCCGTGCTCCAAGGGTCAGCGCCCTGCGCACTGACGGCCGGCAGCCCCGTGCGCTGGCTCGCCCTCTGGTCTCACTTCTCTGAGCTCTGCCCCCTCCAGTCTTTTCCTTTGCACCAGGTGGGCCTCCCCCAGGCGAGGGCAGCAGTAACTGTGCAGCCTCTGGACTCCTGCCTTCAGGTGTTCGGCTTTGCGCCACGGTCCTCCCAGGGCCACTCTGTGGGGACAGTAACAATGTTTCAAATTCTTGAAGACCTTAATCTGCCCTCTCAAAACAATCAAAACTCTGTCCTTACACATTCTTGTACTGGTTCCTGGGGGGTTTGTCGATTCCCTGCCTCTCTCTCATAACTGCTTGCTGAAAACCCAGCCCTAGTCAAGCCCAACTACATAATTTAAGAGACTAATGCAGTTAAAAGAATTATTAGTTTATGTCTTGGCACAGACAATATAAAGACGTAAGTTTGCTGCATCAACAACTGGAAGGAATGAGGACAGAGCTGTAAAAGAGCAGAGTTTGTCACCTAAGTTAGGCTGATGTAAATTCAAATTATCATTCAACACAACTTTAGGATGTTAAATGTCATCCTCACGGTAATCACAAAGAAAACAATGTCCATCCACAGAGGAACGGATAAAGAAGTGCATATATACAATGGACTATGACTCAGCCATAGAAACAGAATGAAATCCTGCCGTCTGCAACATGACGGACCTAGAGGGTATTGTGCTGAGTGAAATGAGTCAGACAGAGGAAGGCAAATGCCACATGATCTCGCTTGTATGTGGTATCCAAGAACAAAATAAATGAACAAACAAAACAGAAACAAGCTCCTAGATACAAAGAACAAATTGATGGTTGCCAGATGGGAAGGGGTAGAGGAAGTGGACAAAAAAGGGGGAAAGGATTAAGAAGTATAAATTGCCAGTTATAAAACTAGTCACAGGGATATAAAGCACAGCAAAGGGAACACAGTAATATTTTAATAACCATGTATGTTGTCAGGTGGGTAGGGGACTCATCAGGGTGATCACTTTGTAAACTATATAAGTGTCTAATCACTATGCTTTATACCTGAAAATAATTTAATATTTTATGTCAATTGTAATTGAAAACAAAACAAAAACAAACACCAGTATGGTGGTTCCTTTAATAATTAAACATGTAATTACCATATGACCCAGTGATTCCACTTCTGCTTATATACTTAAAGAATTAAAAGCAGGGTCTTGAAGAGAGATCTGTACACACACGTTCGCAGCTATATTTTTTTTTTGCAAGAGCTAAAACATGGAAGCAACCCAAGAATTCATTGACAGATGAATGGAGGCTTATCCACACAATGGGCATTATTCAGCCTTAGAAAGGAAGGATATTCTGGCGCATGCTACGACATGGATGACCCTCAAAGGAAATTATGCTAAGGAAATAAGATAAACACAGAATTACATGAGACATTTAGAGTAGCCAGAATCACATAGACAAAAAGGAGAGTGGTGGTTGCCAAGGGCTGGGCGGGGGGAGAAGGAACGTGGAGTCACTACTCTTTAATGGCTATAGAGTTTCAGTTTTGCAAGATGAAAGAGGTATGGGATGGGTGGTGGTGGTTGCACAACATAACAAATTATTTAATACCACAGAACTTCACACTTAAAAATGGGTAAGATGGTAAATTTTGTGTTCTATGTATTTTACCATACTAAAAAAACATCGAAAAATTTTTTTAAAAAGCACAAGTGCCTTGAAATCACAAGAACCTGAGTTCAAATCTAGACTCTGCAACTTATTAGCTGTAGGGTTTAAGGCTCCAATTTTCATCTGTTTGGACATAAAGGGATACCTGGGCCCTGGTCTGCTGGGTCTATAAAGTGCCCGGCCCCGGAGGACTATCAGGACAGGCCGGTCGTTGTCATTATTCTCAGGGTCACTCACACTCAGTAGACGCACACTGAGTTAGGGTTAAAGCTGCAAAAACTAAGCAGGCCAGGCTTGTTCGTTCATGGTTTGGAGCTGGGATCCTGGGAAGGGTGCGGTCCGACTGCTCCTGTCCTTTCACCAGCGGGGTGAACGCAGACGGGGGGATTACCCTGAAGGCTCAGCTTCTTCTCATGGCATATACGCCCCCACCCCGGCCCAGCTGGCTCTGCGGGGACAACGTGCAGTAATGATCGTCCTAGGTCTTCCAGGGATGGCAGCTCTCTCATCCTTCTCGTTCCCCCTTGAGGCCTGTGAATCTGCCACAAAGGGGCAGGGAAGGTGGCTTGTCATGCAAACCTGTCCTGGTGGCGGCCTTGCAGCCCACAAGAGAATCAGGGGAAAGTCTTCATATTCTTACCTGGGAGGTTGGCTTCTGAGGAAGGACCCTGTTCAAGTCCACTGACTAACTAGTAATGAAGGCATTACCGCGCATTGTCCTGGGCCTCCTGAGCCCTGACAAACCCTGAGGTCGCCAGCACATCTGCATGGCCCCTTCTATTACTGATTAAACAATGGCCTCCAAATGCCCACACCTCATCCCTGGAGCGAGTGACTATGTTATCTTGCATGGTGCAGCAGGTTGAACAGTCTCCCCGAAATTCGTTTCTACACAGAACTTGTGAATGTGGCCTTATTGGGAGGAGGGTCTTTGCAGATATCACCCGCTTAAGATGAGGTCATGCTGGGTGAGTGTGGGCCGTAACCCAATGACAGGGTCCTTAAAAGAGGAAAATGTGGACACGCAGATGCACGCACACAGGAAGGATGGCCACGTGAAGACAGAGGCGGAGATGGGAGGGGCGCAGCTGCAAGGCAAGGAGCGCCGGGGCCACCAGCCGCCACCGGAGGGCGAAGCGAGGCATGTGGCAGGGATGAACCCTGTTGACCCTGAACTGGGAGAGAATAAATTTCCATCATTTTAAGTCCCCCAGTTTGTAGGCATGTGTTACAGCAGCCCAGGAAACTGATGCAGATGGTCAAAGGGACGTGGCCGCTGTGAGTCAGGTAAGGGTTGGTAGAGGAAGAGATGAGTGCGGGTCATCGGGGCGGTCCCAGTGCAATTACAGGGGTCCTGCTGAGACAGACAGACAGGGCGGTCAGAATCAAAAAGCGATGTGCTGGTGGGAGCAGAGAGAGAGAGGGAGAGGTTTGAAGATGCTGCACCACTTGCTTTGAATGTGGGGGCAGGGGGGCCACAAGCCAAGGATTGTAAATGGCTGTAGAAGCTGGAAAAGGCCAGAGAACAAATGCACCTTTTGAATAACACTGACCCCAGGGTGGCCGGGGCGTCCAGTGACCTCAAACCGGAAGAAAGGCCACCAGGACTGGAGGGCATTCGATGCTCTCAGACCCACCGCTCCTCCCGTGAGCTGGGCCCCGGGGGATGCAGAGACAAGCGAGACTTAGGGCTTAGGGCAGGCTTTTCAAATAATCAGAACAAGATGCACTATTTAAGGACACATGTCTCTTTCTCTGGTAATGCTGAGGGCACCTACACCGTTTATTGTCATGGGGTTATTCTAAAGAACACAGGAGCAAGAACAGGACACGGCCTCTTGTCCTCAAAAACTGCTGTTCAGATGGATGGATAAATAAAGCGTGGTCTATCCCATAATGGAATATGACTTAGCCTTGAAAAGGAAGGAGATGCTGGCCCATGCACTCTGAGGACATTATGCGAAGTG